ACGCTATAATGGAAACCAAATGCGGGCAAAGCAAATATATTCAGTTCCAAACAAGTAAAAGTAATTTGGTCAAATAAACCAGCAATATGTGAAATATCCAAATAATAACACAAAACAAGAATGGTAAGTGATATAAAGAATTATTATAGAATCATGGAAATAAATACAATGAATTTTATATTAAATTAAAAATGTAATGAACTACTGTTATGGGCAAATACAAATATTACAAGTTTTAGAATGAAATGTTGTATTTCTTAAACTGTGTACTTTGTCTTTAAGAGATATTGCAAACTGACAAGGTGTTAGAAATGGAACATATTGTTTTTCATAACTGTTTCTTTAAGCAATAACCTCAGTGCATAATATGTTTGCGCCATTTTGTCCCAGACGAATTACAATAACAATAATGCATAAACAAGCTTCAAGGCTATTCTACGACACTTGCAGTACACAATATACTGTGGTAACCCCAAGTTAATGGAACTTCCCCAAATCCTGGAATCTCCCACGACTGTACACTTACGACTTAGTATAAACAACAGATAACCTATTCAGACTTTAAGATGCCATCTTGAACTAAGTCAGGAAAATTTCCATGACGTATACACCCTTTAGTTATGGCCTTGTATGTTTGCCAAATTAAGGGAGGTCCTAAATTGAATAAAGTAAAAGAAGTGTTACTTGTTCATATTTGAACTACAGTAACCTAAAATGGAGTCACCTAAGGTATAAATAGGTGTACTTTTAAATGTTGAGACACAGAGGAGAGACTTGGAGACAGACGCTGCTCCATCTTAAAATGACAGGGAGGCTGACATGATGACATGTTCAGAAGGGTATGTTAACCTATTAATGATATTTGCAAGCATGTAATTTAATCTTATAAACTCTGCTATAATGGATTTTATATTTTCATATAATAAATATCCAAAAAGACAATCTTGCTTCCAAGACAATCCTTATTTTATATTGTATTCTCAATTATTTATATATGGTAAATAGAGGATCTCTTACTAACTATATAAAATTATGGCTAAGATATCTGTATGGTTAGCCCTACTAAGTTCTATGCTTTAAGACATTATAGTGGTAAATAAGGGAACCACCAGCGGTTACACTACAAAATTTAGATAAAGTACAGTAGAGCAGCAAAGAAAGATGACTTTGGAATGTTGCCATCACCTTTTATAACCTACGGCTCCTTGGCTGTTGTTTTTTTTTTTTTTAGAATTTGAAGTTGATTTGTTTTCTTCATAAAAAATAAAACATTGAAGGTTTGGGGGTACAGAAAGGAAGACGTGGGAACAAAGGGTTACACAGCTTGTTACACAACTTATTACACATTATGTCACACAATTTTTGATGGGAACATTCTCATACAGTTATGAATATGACTTCACAAAATTTCCAATGTGGAACATAGCAGAGCAATTATTATATCAGGGAGGAAATGCTTTGCTGTTGTGCCGAGCTAGGCCTCTTGATACTGATCATGGTATCACTTGGTATTTAGTCGGTGAACTACCCGGTCTGGGTGGTGAGGTTGGTTCCCCGGATTGTCATTATGTGTGTTTTGTGGACGCTACCTATGTTTTATGTGCATCTTGGACACCTGTGCGTGTACCAAATTGTGTTGTTGTCATTAACGCGTATGCCCAATTATGGTCTACTTTCTTTATAAGATCGTCTATTGACGGGATTAGTGTCTTTTTCCATAGCTTGGATATCATTATGTTTGCTGATATTAAGGTGTGATAGAGTATGACCCTGATGTGTTTTGGGATGTATTCTGGTAGCATGAACAGGAGACATGCCTGAGGATTGTCTAGTTTTGGGGCGGGTAGTATCTTCTGAATTAGGTGTACCACTGCGTCCCAGAATGGCTTGAGTTTGGTGCATGACCACCATGTGTGTAGCATAGTGCCCACCTCCACCCCACACCTCAAGCACAGGTTGCTGGTCGTAGGCCACATCTTGTGTAGTTTGTTTGGCACCAAGTACCAGAGATATAGTATTTTGCGTTGTAATTCCAGATGTGTGGCGTGGGCTTTGAGCCCCTGGTGGGCTGTGTAGGCCTTTTCCTATTCTCTGTCTGTTATTGTCTGGCTCATTTCGCGGTGCCATGCCAATTTGATCTTTTCTAACATGTGTTTGTTGCGAAATTAGCTCCTGGTATCCCCAGGACATTGCTTTTTTGAGTGGTGTGATTCCTACACATTGTTTATCGAAGTTTGTCATGTGTTTTGTGTCGTTGGAGCCTGTCTGGACTCCCAGTTTGTCTGTCACATAAGATTTTAGCTGAAGGTAAGAAAATATAGCCTTAGTGGGTAGGTCATGCGCGGCTTGGATGGTAGTAAACGGTTTTAATCGGTCCCTATGAATAACTTGATAAATATAGTGTATGCTCCCTCTCATCCATATCTCCCAGGGGAAGGTTGGGATCTCTTGCCCTATTGTTTGCATTTGTGTGGCTAAGGGTAATTGTGGTATCGGCAACTTATTCCTCATTTTACCCCACATTCATAGTAGAGTTTGGGTGTTGGGCAGGAGGGCGTCAAGGATGTGTCTAGGGCATGCTTGCATCCATAAGATTGATCGGAGATCTCTCTCCGGGTGTCAGGTAGTCATGTCTCCAGTCCAGAGGGAATGCCGTACCTAGCCTGCTCGCTAGAATCTCGCCTAAGTGCAACCCCAGAGCCTGGGTTTTGGTGACATTTAGTTTGTAATAAGAGACGGCTCCATATGTTTGGATTTGTGTCACCAGGCTCGGCAGTGATATGAGCGGCTGTGTGATCGTTACTAGTAGGTCATCTGTGAACAGATTGAGCTTGTACTCTCTATCACCTATGTTGATGCCATGTGTGGAGGGATCTGCTCTTATGGCTGCTGCCAAAGGTTCCAGTGCTAGTACAGTGCATTGCAAAAGTATTCACCCCCTTGACTTTTTACCTATTTTGTTACATTACAGCCTTAAGTTCAATGTTTTATTAATCTGAATTTTATGTGATTGATCAGAACACAATAGTCTAAGTTGGTGAAGTGAAATGAGAAAAGTATATACATAAAACTATTTTTTAGAAATAGAAAACAGAAAATTGGCATGTGCGTATGGATTCACCCCCTTTGTTATGAAGCCCATAAAAAGCGCTGCTGCAACCAATTACCTTCAGAAGTCACATAATTAGTGAAATGATGTCCACCTGTGTGCAATCTAAGTGTCATATGATCTGTCATTACATATACACACCTTTTTTGAAAGGCCCCAGAGGCTGCAACACCTACGCAAGAGGCACCACTAACCAAACACTGCCATGAAGACCAAGGAACTCTCCAAACAAGTAATGGACAATGTTGTTGAGAAGTACAAGTTAGGGTTAGGTTATAAAAAAATATCCAAATATTTGATGATCCCCAGGAGGACCATTAAATCTATCATAACCAAATGGAAAGAACATGGCAAAACAGCAAACCTGCCAAGAGACGACCACCCACCAAAACTCACGGACCGGGCAAGGATGGCATTAATCAAAGAGGCAGCACAGAGATCTAAGGTAACCCTGGAGGAGCTGCAGAGTTCCACAGCAGAGACTGGAGTATCTGTACATAGGACGACAATAAGCCATACGCTCCATAGAGTTGGGCTTTATAGCAGAGTGGCCAGAACATAGCCATTACCATAGGCGTGCGCACGGGGTGTGCCGGGTGTGCCTGGGCACACCCTAATCCCCGTGGCACGCCTATGGTTTGAGTCCTGCAGGAACAGCATCCCTGCACTTTTTTTGAGCAGGAACGCTGTTCCTGCAGGCACTCAGCGCCCCCTGTCTCACCTCTTGCCCCTGGGGGGGAGGGGGCAAGAGGTGATGGATTACCCCCCCCACCCCCCCAGCTCAGCCACGGCGAGGGAGCTCTCTGCTGTCTGCTTTCTTCTTCCTCTCGCCGCGCGCTGATGCCGGGAGCCGGGATATGACGTCATATTCCGGCTCCCAGCTACAGCAGACAGCCCGAGCGGTGAGAGGGAGCAGAGAACAGACAGCAGAGAGCTCCCTCGCGGCTGAGCTGCAGAGAGGCGCCCGCCCCCACTGGACCCCAGGGAAAAGTCCACCAGCACTCCAGGTAGGAGGCTGGGTGGACATTGTTTTAAATGAAAATATAATAATTTTTTCTTGTGTGTGTGTGTGTGTGTGTGAGTGTGTCAGTGAGTGTGTGTGTGTGTGTTTCAGTGAGTGTGTGTGTCTGTGTGTGTGTCAGTGAGTGTGTGTGTCTGTGAGTGTGTGTCTGTGAGTGTATGTGTGTGTCTGTGAATGTGTGTGTCTGTGAGTGTGTGTGTGTCTGAATGTGTCTGTGAGTGTGTGTGTGTACGCATATATATATATACACACACGCAGAGCCGGCGCTATCTGAGTGCCGGCTCTGCTCTAAGCCTCCATGGGCCGGCGGGGAGACCAAAGATCTACCTCACCGGCCCACAGCAGCATGGAGGGAGGCAGGAGAGGACCCAGGGAGCTCTAGACAGAAGCTCCGCCAGGTTCCTCTCGCGATATCTGAGTGTTGCTGCGTCAACGCTCAGATCTCGCGAGAGTTAACTCTAGCCCTGCAGGCTAGAGTTCACTCTCCACTGGACCACCAGGGATGGCACATGGCAGCAAGGATTTACTAATCTGCCAAATCCCTCCAAACATACAGCACACACATACAGCACCTACACACATACAGCTCACACACACAGTACACTAACCGCACCCTCATAAACACACACAGCACCTTTAAAAAAAACGCAACACCCTCACACACAGCACACTAACAGCACCCTCACAAACACACACACAAACAGCACCCTCACAAATACACAACACTCACAAACAGCACCCTCACAGGACAAACATACACACACAAACAGCACAGTCACAAACACACACACACACACACACACAAACACCCTCACATCACACTAGCAGCACCCTCACACACACATCACACTAACAGCACACAGCACACTAACAGCACACACAGCAGTGTGTGTGTGGATATGTCTGTCTATATATATATATATATATATATATATATATATATATATAGACAGATAGATATATCCACACACACACACACACGCGGCGTGTGTTTGTGCTTTAGGGTGCACACCCTAATGCAATAGGCTGCGCACGCCTATGGCCATTACTTTAAGCAAAAAAACAAAATGGCACTTTTTGAGTTTGCAAAAAGGCATGTGGGAGACTCCCAAAATGTATGGAGGCAGGTCTGATGAGACTAAAATTGAACTTTTCGGCCATCAAAGAAAACGCTAAGTCTGGCGCAAACCCAACACATCACATCACCCTGCCTCCTGCCGTAGGGTTTCTAGTGTGATTTCTGGGATCTGATTTGTGGTAAAGTAGTGTTTAATGTCAATGGCTAGGTCTTTGCAAAATTGTGCGTCGCTTAGTAGGGTTTTGTTTAGTCTCCATGGGCTGCAGTGCCTGTAGTCATTCTAAAATTATTGGTGCATGGTCAGACCATGTTATGGTTCCTATGGAGCAGGATGTTAGTTGGTTGAGGAATGTGCCCTTTATAAAGAACCCGTCTGTGCATGAATAGGTATTATGTGCCTGGAAAAAGAAGGTGTAATCCCTCTCTTCGGTGTAGCACCTTCCATGCATCATAGAGGTCGTGCTCGCTGAGCAAGCGTACTAATGGTTTGCATTCTCGTTTGAGGGTGGCGAATCTAGGTGTGTTAGGTCATACTGTGGAGTCCCATTTTGGGTCCAGTATATGGTTTAAGTCACTACAGACAACCATGATGCACCTCTGGACTGGCGAAAGAAGAGTTATAATTTTGTGTAGGAAGTTTCGCTGGTTAGTGTTTGGTGCTTAGAGATTGACAATAGTGTGTTCCAGGTTATTGATTTCACAGACTAAAATGATATATATCTCCCTTGTTTGTCTGTAGACTCGTAGAGTAGCTTGAAAGACACATCCTTGCTAATCAGGATAGAGACTCCCTTAGTTTTGGATGTGAAAGTACTATGGTACTGTACCGGATATTGTGCTTGTGTGCCTGTGTGGATGGCTTTTTAAAGTGTGTTCTTGCAAGCACACAATGTCTGGGTGTGCCTTGCGCAGGTCTCTGACCAGACAGTACCATTTTACAGGGTTGTTCAATCCCTTTACGTTGTGGCTGTATATTTTCATAATCTACAGGGTTTTACAGAGGGTTGCTGATTTTCCCTTTCAGTACTAGTAACGTTAGGCTCGCTAATAGTTTCTGCATGGCCACCCTTCCCCATCCTGTCCGGCCTTTGGCCACGGGCATGTGTGTATCCTATGCATCTCGGTCTGGCGGGTCCCAATGTGGAATCCCCTGTTGTTTTTTGACCGCCCCGGGAGTTCCGTGTTCCCTTTCGTTGGAAAGCTATGCTGGAGGACTTTCCCTTAGTGTTGGAGGGGGGTTGGATAGTGGGGTATAGGGTTAGGAAAACAGTAGTGCAAACATTATTCATAACAGTCGAATATAACATAGTATATACAATTTCAACATGTGCAAACATTTCCCACTGAAGGGTAATGCACCAAATGGTTAGTGCAAGGTGGGAGCATGGTTACTATGTAAGGCTGCTAGAGTGTTGGGTTGTAGGGTGAGCACGCTTGGTCCGATACTCGCTGTCATCTAGCTTGTGTGTGAAGCACTATCATTGTTATTCATTGTCCGGCTCGTGATGTGGTGTGGGTTTGGTTTGGAGTTTTATAAAAATAGAGAGTTAGGAGCTTATTTAGGGTGTGACCGTGGTTGCCCCCTTTTTTTGCTTTGGATGGCATTCGGGCTCTGCCCTCTCTGTCAGCATCTATGTCTCAGGGGTCCTGGCAGGGACTATTCTCAAAGTGGGTCTATTGCCTTACAAATTGGCATGCCATCTTAACGATAATTGTGTGTGTGAACATATGTATTGCATATTGTATATTTTATACTTGCTTCTCTGTTTCTGCCCAGCTGTGGCTGGTGCTGTGGCAGGGTCAGCAACACTGTCATTGAACCAGTTCATTTTTTGGCTCTTTTCCATCCCGGAGACAGTCTGTTCGGTGTGGCTGTGCCCCTTTCCTCCAGGTATGGCGTGATGTTCCAGCTGCGCAGCAGTTTGCGGCCTTCTTCAGGGGTGTTTACTGTTGTCACCATGCCATTTCTCCTAATCAGGAGGCGGATCGGGTATCCCCATCTATACTGGATATCTGTTGTGTCCTTAAATTCCTTGTGTTTTTGTAAATTGGCGACCGAGAGGTCAGTGAACATCTTGATGTTTCTGTATTTTTGCGTAGGATCTCTACCCACTCTCGCTGCCTGGAGCAGTGCTTCCTTTACATGGAAGTAATGCAGGTGTGTGAGCACATCTCTGGGGGTCTCATGTGGTAAGAAGGCTATTTTTTTGCACCCAGTGATATCTGTCTAATAAGACATCCGTGGATAAATCTGGTGCTAGTTCTCTGAAGTACCCTATCAGGTACTCGGTCACAGGCAGGTTTTGAGGCCCTGGGGATTTTTGCAGTGGTATCGTGTCATTCCCGCCATCGCCATCTTTGTCCTGGTCTGTCTAGGGACGTTGCCGTCGACACCCATGTTGTGAGGAAGCTGGAGCAGTCAGTTTTACCTGCCTGCTTCTTATGCTCTTGGTTGTCCGTGTCAGGGGGGTTCAAGGTGATCTGCTTAGAAGCCGATTTCTGCTTTAATTGTGCTTTTTTGGGTTAACATTTTGCAGAGCTCAGATCAGTGCGACCATCTGTGTTGCTCGCCAAGCCATGCCCCCCTCCTAGGCTGTTTTGATGTCATTGTATACTAATTTTTTTTTTCTGTTTCCATTTATTGTTATTTCTCTTTGCTGCTATGTTTGGTAAAGAAAGAGAAAAGCATAGTACTGGGCTGTGCCTGCCAGGGCTGCCATCAGATGTTTTGGTGCCCCTGACAAAGCTCGAAATCTGGGCCCCGAGGCCCATCCCAGAGCTTGCCCACAGGTTCCATCCCCCAGTTCCCACCACTGAAACAGCCCACAAGGATGCAGTGTGTGTGTGTGTGTGTGAAAATGCAGTGTGTATAAAGTGGCCAAAATGTAGATCCTTGAAGGCTTGTATTTAGCACTGAACAGTGTTTAAGTCTTTGAAAGTAAGCATGTTTTTGTATGGAGTATGTGTTTATGAATGTTGGTGTTTGAATACAGGCAGGCATTTGTGTGTAGTGTATACACTGCCACACACACACACACTGACATACAAACAGTTACACACACTGACAGATACACACACACACTCAGGTACACATTGATACATAAACAGACACTTTGGAACACAAATTTTTTAGCCACCCTCCTGTTTTTTACCTTTTGGCTGCGGAGGGGGGTCTCTGCTAGCTGGGGGTGATGTGGGTTTGGCTCTCTCCTCTTCATCTCTCCCTTCACTGTGCCCCCACACTCCCGCGTGGGTGACTGAGGCTACCCAGCACTGTCAGGATCATTAAAGGAGCCCCGTCTCACTGTGAGATCCACAGCACTGACCAAGCATCCTCAGTGTGCAGGCCCTGCTGCAGCCACACCTACTGTACTGGTGGTAGTTCCACCGCTGCTATGGCATAATATATATATATATATATATATATATAATATAGTGATAATTGCATATATTGATATATATGTGCACACATTGGGAATGGGGGGCCCAGGCAGGCCCATAACAATAGTAATGTGTGTCACCCCTGATGCCTGCTTACCACTTATGAATTTTGTTTGATTGGCAGTAACAGTATGCAGGAGCTACAGCACAAGAGGGAGATCTTATGCTGTAATCACAGTACAGATTGCTCATGGATGCTTTCTATTGAGTAAACATGAAAATCCATCTACTGATGTCAGTACTGACTTCAGCAGAGTGAAACCCCTCTAAGTTAGGGTTGATGTAGGGTTAGGGTTGGAGTATGGTTATGGTTGGGTTTCATGTTCCTTTTTTGGTATTAAGAGAGTTCTATTTTAGGTGGGTCTTAGGTTTAGGGTACACCTGACTTTAATTTACCATTGGCATTAACTCCCAAACTCTCAGCCAGGCAAAGCGAGTTACACTTCAATGAGTTTTTAATTAGATCAGTATGTTCTGAAGACAGAGAGTATTCAGTTGAGCATGGGCACTGAATAGGGAATGATCCATACACCAAAACTGATTAAGGGGACACTAGAGTCACCAAAACAACTACAGTTGAATGTCATTGCTCTGGTGAGTGTAATGTATACATCTCCAATGACCACTCCTCAGATAGCCACTAGAGGTGCTTCCTTGGGCAGTGCTGCACACTGTCCCTATAGAGATCCATTGATTAAAAACATTTTTATTAGGAGATACTGACTGGCTAGGGCACAGTTTGCTTCCCCTCTCCCTTTTTGGCAGAGATCATCATGATTGACAATCTCAGCCAAGCCAATGCTTTCCTATGGGAAAGCATTGGCTTGGCTGAGATTATCAATTCTGATTATGTTCAATAATCAAAATGACAACTGCAACTATAACAGTTTAAGTATATCCTTAGGTAAATTGATACATTTACAAAAACAAATTAGATACAATGCAACTAATTTGTGAGTGCAACTATTTTAATCATTTTTAATGGCAGGATGTCATTGATTTAAATTTATTTTATTTTTTTTAAAAAGGGTTTCTAAAATAGATTTTTTTTTTAAAAACATGCAACTTTTGTACTGCAGTTTTAAGAAGTATAGCCCATATGTGCTTCTAGGCAGAACAAGTATCCATCTTGATATGACTTATAGGCTCCAGCCTCCATCAATGATGTGTTCGTTACCAGTGACATACACCGACTGAAAAAAAAAAAAAAAGACAAAATACATTTATTGTGTACACTGCTCTTAAAAAAAAAAAAAAGTTCAATGACTATATAGTTTATTCGAAGTGCTCAATACTTTATGCATTGCAATATCTAGCTAGCATAGCAGCTTTTAGCTTAAAATTACTATTAATATCCATTAACAGAGACAGAGTGAGCGCTTTTGGGGCCCCGGGGCAAAATTAGATCCATGTCCTTTGATGACCAAATACATGGGAAATAATGTTAAATGTATCTCATGTAATACTGTATTCTTTTGGATGTATACAGTGTGAAGACCTGTGTATAAATGCATGTTTGTATTTGATATTACGTAAAATCTGTGTGAATGCATGTGTGCATTGTCTGGATGGATGCATGTGATTTTTTTTTGTACATAGTGTCAGTATGAATGCATATGAGTATTGAACATTATTGTGTAACTACATGTATGCATTTGAATGTAGTGAATGGAGGAATGTATTCTTGTCTGCTGCAAATGTATTAAAGCAATCATGTATTTGCAAGTGACTTAATATTACCATTCTATGTGTCAACATAGAGATGGTTGTGTGTGTAATGTTGATGTGCATCAATCTTAAAGTATATGTGTAGTGACAGATTTATTTGCATGTAGTGTATTAAAGTTACATAGTTACATAGCTGAAAAGAGACTTGCGTCCATCAAGTTCAGCCTACCTCACATTTGTTTTTTGCTGTTGATCCAAAAGAAGGCAAAAAAACCCAGTTTGAAGCACAATTTTGCAATTAGCTAGGAAAAAGTTCCTTCTTGACCCCAGAATGGCAGTCAGATTTATTCTTGGATCAAGCAGTTATTACCCTATATTGAAAGATTATATCCTTGAATATTCTGTTCTTGCAAGTATGCATCTAGTAGCCGTTTGAACATCTGTATGGACTCTGATAAAACCACTTCTTCAGGCAGAGAATTCCACATCCTGATTGTTCTTACAGTAAAAAAAACCTTTCCTTTGCCTTAGGCGAAATCTTCTTTCTTCCAGTGTGAACACAATATTCTTCAAAAGAGTATAATAGATGTATGTGGAAGCAGGGGTATCTGTATGGAATGTAGACAGGTAAATGTAAAGGGTGTTTTAATGCATAGTATCTGTGAACGCTGCGCTGTAATTTTGTTGAGGCCCTATGCATGTGAATACAAGGAACTATTGGTGTGCCAATTCCAAAGTACATTAGTGTGCAGAGTCTGTGTATGAATTCAGGGACAGAGTTGTGTTTATTGTCTATGTTTAAACAAAGGAGTACATCTGAGCAGTGTTGTGTGACTTTAGGATTGAAACTGTGAGGAGTGTAAAGCAGTGGCATGTGTAAATTATGACTGTATTCGAAATTTGTCTCAGTGTGTGTGAACGAGGGGTGTATTTGAAGTCTGTGTCATCGCGTGTATGTGAAGGAGGAGTGTAATTGAAACATGTTAATATGTATGTGTTTGAAAGATTTATTTATATGGTGCAAGCATTTATTTTTGTTTGTATACAGTTTTGGATTTCCCCCACCTCCTTTGGTGCTCTTTACAACATACTCCACCCACCTTTTCTTCTCCACATTATCTCCTCTATTGTCTGTCAAACTTTGCCTCCCCAACACACTCATGTGAGCCTCTACGGTGACCTTCACAACTGTTACATTCCACACTCCTTCTAAACATCCCACATTTCTCTCCCATCCTTGACACAATTTTCTAACCCCAAACTTTCATTTTGTGCCCCCCATGTCTGATACTTGATCATATGTGCCTCTGCTCCATTACACCCATTAATCCCACGTCTTTTCACCAATCCCCATTTTCTCCCTCTGATTGCTCCGCTACATCAATTCCATTCTCTGTTCCTTACATTGTTTTCCAATTCCAATGGCACTCCTTGCCTCTTAGGTTTCCTATTGTTTTCACAAACTTTCATTCTCTCACCATCTTCCCCATTTCTCATGCTCCCTTTTGTCTCTGCCAGGCGGCTGCTGCCTCTGTTCCGGGGCTGTGAGAGCGCTCTGTGTGAGTGGAGAGTGCAGGGTGTGATATCACTTTGATTCCTGCCTCCCCTTATCAAGAGGAGACCTCGCCGAGAGCAGGTAATGCTGCCAGGCCTCATTAAGCACCGGGGTAGGGGATAGTGATGTGCAGTGCGGTAGGTTGCTATGGCCCTCAGTATCAGGGACCCACAACTTATTAATAAGAATATTTTTTTACATTTGCTTTTCAGTTGGAGAGATCTCTGATCTGCCCAACTGTAGAATAGCTATGTGTCCAGGACCCTGGCTGTCTCAGGCCGAGTGGTCAGTTCGCCCCTACCTATTAAATATTGTTTCCTCATTCTTTAGATTTAAGTAGAGCATTCACAGCTCAAGCTCTGCTTCTATGCATTTACTTTAAGACAATATCATGAATACAAAAATACCAAAACTTATGTAACCAGATATGATATAAAATGCATAAAAACCCTTTTGCATATTTTTTTTTTAATATTTAATACTAAATATGAGCTAGATTATTTTATAACTGACTCTCACTAATAAAGTAATATCACCTTTGAGCACTTAAAGGGCAACGGTTACCTTGCTGAATTTACGCTATTGAATAAAAAGACTGAAAATCACCCATAACTTGTGTTAACCTGTTTTCGTATTATGATCCATA